ATCCAGAATTTGACCCTTTGGGCGTGCCCGTGGGAAGCAGCAGCACTTTTCACTTCACCACCCCCTAGTGTACATACCAAAAGCATTGTACTCGGAGATGCATTTCACTGTTGAGATCTCCAATATTCAAGCTTCATTCGAACCGTCTATGGGCCGTATGCTATCCTCCCCGAAGGGGTTAGGGGACGAAATTCCTTTAAATTTTCTCTGTCTTCCCAACTGGGATTGCCCTGATAAAGGGCCTACATTAATGTATGTATGTAGGTTAAAGTAAACATGCATTGAAAATGAAGAAACTACATCGTTCAAAGCAAATAAATTTAAAGGAAACTTTGCGTCACCTAGGCTCGGGATAGGATATGAATATGGATAAGGATAGCATACGGCCCTATGTTGGAATTTTTCCTGGCTGAGAAACTCCAAAAGAAAAATGGGCGCAATGTGGCTCCGGGGGGGGGGCCAGTCGGAAAGCGTCAGATTCACAGATTTGCTCAGTTTTGGGACTAAGCTTTGGAGGAGAAGAGGGAATCCGAGCTGCGTAAGCAATTTTCATTCGCTCCGGAATTCGTCCCTCTGCGTTAGGCTAGTCCTAGTGGCCTTCCGACAGACTGCCCCCCCCCGGAGGCACATTGCGACGAAAAATGTTTAATGAGCTATACCGATTCAGTCCAACTATATTCTTCAGCTACGGTGGGTGGTCGCTTTGACGTTGACATGGTCGCTGTAAAGTAGTATTACAAACCAAAAACAATGAAATACGTGAGAGGTGAGGAGGAGAGAAAAAGCTTCAGCATAAAAGAAAGATCACATGGCAAAGCATAGCCAGTTAACCATGGTGCTCAAGCAATATGGAAATTGTTTCGCAAATTTCAGCAAAATTAACATCACAGCATCTATTGGCATTGGAGCGCGTTTCCTGCTCTTTAATGTTCGCCTTGAAACTGTTGTTATCAGTACTGTTAATTGTTATCAGTACTGGAAGATCGGATAATCGATGAACTGAAAATTGAAGGTGTTCCGGTATACGCCACACATGCGCCTTCCGTTTTAAAGCGTACGACTACGCACTGCACAGTAGCTTTTAGAACGTACCCATGTTTGAGGCAGACAGTTTATTCTTCTGTATGGTGTCGTAATTATTATCACCTCCCAAGTTTTCCTCCCATCAGCTTTTGAAGAACCCAATTCTGCTATTCTCTAAATTTGATGATACGTCTTCATTATATGCCATCCGATAGGCATCAAAGGTGGCGAAAAATTACGTGCGCCATAAAACACGTCAAAACTATTTCTTGTCCACAAAATCGTTATAATTGTACTGTAATTTATTGTTTCTGTCTCGAAAAGTATAAGCGGTGAAAAGAACCGGAAAGGAAAGCGGCGGAGATGGTCCAAGGGCTTACAGCTCCTTATGAGGAGGAGCAAGTTCGATCCGTAAAGTGAACATAGAGAGATATTGGACAAAGTCGAGCATGCGTCACAATCGCACCACCTAACTATCCTACTATATATAATTCGCTAAGTATGTCTGTGTGTGTGTCTGTGTGTGTGTTGTCACGAAATTCATAGCGCGCTTCGCTGCAACAGTGGAGCGCTGTATTTTGAGTATGTTGTAGGGGGTGGGACGGGAACATATTTGGTGGGGGACCAAAGTGATAACGACTGATAAGATCCGATAAGAGGCGCCAAAACGCCAATTTCCACGATATCCATAGCGCGCGTCCCAGCATCAGTGAGGCGTTGGTTCCAAGAAGTGATGTGGAGGGTAGGACGGGAACACCACTGGTTGTAGATAATTTCGAGTAAGGTTGGTGTTATTCCTCATGAAAAGATGTTCTGGCCACTATTTTGCCTTTACTGCTCTACTCCTCAAAACTGAGCCGGAAATTTGTCCATGACTGAGGATTTGGCTGAAAATTTGTTCCCAGGGGTACTTTAACCCGTAGGACTCGAACCTCAACATGGATAAGACTTGATGATGGCGCCACTGACGATGGCGCTACCAGGGTGAAAATCGTGTCGAGGAAATAACCGCCTCTTTACGACCCCCCTCCAAAACATGGACTCTGATACGACCCCTTTTTGTCCTCTGCACATCCGGTTTCATATCAAAAAATGCTAGTTTCAGATGTGCGAGAGGGACGCAGCGCCGCTGCCACGCAAATGCGGCTTGATCCAAATGCTAGATTCAATTCTGCTCAGATTAGGTTCTCCTTCTTTCCTTTAAAGACATTTAACCTTTGCCACATTGGCCGGAAAGTAGAACATTGAAGGAGGTACTGCCCCTACACAGTTGAACAGTCTCGCGCTCCAGTATAGCGGCGCTAACTACCCGCGATCGCGTCGCGCGCTGTGCCTAGAGCGCGCTAGTTGGAAAAATCGTCAAATGTACCCCCTATTTGAAGGACTATAACTTTCTTCATTGATAACCATTTC